TCGGACATCATCTCTCGACTTCTTGTTTTCTTCATTCACAGACATTATTGCCATCTATATTATCTTTATTTGTTGGCCTGGATGGTTCTCATTCATTCTCCCCATGAGACCATGAGCTCCTCCAGGGCAGGAAGCCTGACTGTCCTGATGTTGTGTCCCAGTACCTGACATAGTACCTACCATGAAGAAGGACCTTGAGAAATGTCTGTTGAGAAAATAAAAAAAATTCATTATGCATGAATGAATACGTAAACAAATAAATATGAAACTAGCGGTGCACCGATGCTCAGGCATGCATCAGAAATTCCAAGGCAACACAGATTGCTGGAAACATCAGTAACAAATGCTGGATGGTGTATGGTGACATATTAAATGATCAGTATTTGTCCCACCACCCATCAGCGTTAATCAGGTGGGAGAAGACAGAGATTGGCCTGGTTGGAGAAATCAGCTAGAACTTGGATGAGCTGGGGGTTTGAATACAAACCTCGAGGACTTTGCTAAGGCAGTTGCCCCGCCTGGAATGCCTTCCCACCTTTTTCTGATGTTTCATATTTTATTCACCGTCAGTGCTCAGCTCATAAAGCCCCACTCCTAGAGCCCTTCCTGGACTCTCCCTTGGTCACAATGAATCACTCTTTTTTCTAAGTGTTCTTTTATTAGGACGATGACTCTTGTCTACTACCCTGATTTGAAAATATTAACTTACAGAAATATCACAACAACTTAGGTATCATTGTCCCATTTTAGAGATAAGAAAAGTAAAGGCCTGAGAAGAGTTTACATTCTAGTGAGAGAAAACTATCATAGGTAAAATAAACAAATTCATATTATGTTGGCGGTGATAAAAAGATGTGAAAAATATTGCAGGGGAAGGAGATGGGGAGGCCTCTCTGATGGATCAATATCAAAGATCAAACAGATGGGGTTCAAATTCCAGCTAATAGTATCAGATAAAATTCAGTTAATTGTTATTCTAATATTTAGTTAGTCATTACTTCTAGGATGTGTGCTCCATGGGGGCAGGGACTGTATTGTTTGTTTATTGGTCTGCCCACAGCATCTAGAACAGAGCCTAACACTTAGTAGGTGCTCAGTGTATGGTGTACCAGGCATTATACATGCATTTTCTTATTTAATCTCAGTGGTCAGTGAAGTTGGGGTTATGATTCCCAAATGGGGTATAGCAAAGACTAAATAACTTAACCCAAGAACATGCATCTAGTAAATGATGGAATGGATTCTAATCCAGGATAGCCTTGTATCTTAGCTACTACCCCACACAGCCTTATTCTATTTGCTTGCTGTGTGATCAGGGCACATTACCTAAACTCTTTGAGCCTCAGTTTATCTTTTAAAAATAGTACCCATGTCACAGAGTTAGTGTGAAAGTTCAATTCCTTCAGCGCTCTTACACTGCTGCCTGGCATGCAGTAACACCTCAGTTCAGGTGGTCTATTCTTGTTTGATATTCTGTCAGCCATCATGAAACAAAAGGTCGTAGAATAACACTTTCCAAATGGACAAACCTCCTCTGATTTCTGGAAAATCTTGAGAAGCTTGATCAGTTATGGAAATTGTAGAGAAGGTGGCCTTAGTGGTAAAGTGTAAAAATAGTGTCCCTGCAGGCTGCTTTGTAAATTGTTTTCCTCATCCCATAAGAGGGATTGCATAGGAGTAACATATATAGAGTACCCCAGAAACCTTATGCACTATATTAAGAGTTCTGCAGCACCCCTTGTTGATCCTTCCCAGCCCCATTATACAGCTGGCATCACTGAGGCCCAAAGAGGTGAAAGGGTTCTTTCTTTTCCCTTTGGTTTCTCTAAGTGTTGCCCATTTTCACTGGCTGCCTCAGCTTTGCTCCCTCCGAGAAGTCTTACTGACACTGCAGCTCTTCCTTACTTACCTGTGTAACTTCCTATCCCCCTCACAGTTTAACCTTCCATTTGAGAGGCCTATGTTCATATCCTAGCTCTGCAAGTCTTAAATGCCAGGCCAATTGAATGCCCCTGAGCAGAGATATGATGAGATGAACATGGAACCCCTAACCAGCACAGGTGGGTCTTCTCTGCTCCCATATTGCCCACTCATTAGCCCAAAGGCAGCATCAGGTAGAAATCAGGCCTGGAATTTGGAAAACTGGAAACAGGAACATCATCTCTGCAGATGGTCCCTAAATTCTCATGGAGCAGATGGCACAACTCTTCACAGAGGGACTTGCCAAGCCCTTAATTACAGGTACCATCAAACAAAAACTCTCTGAAGCAAAAGAGTTTGGATCCCACCTGAGCTCCGAATCCAGGGAACCAGGCCTGCCCAAGTGTGCTGCACAAAACAAATGAAGCCTGAGGAAGAGAAGGCCCCAACTTCAGCATGCTACCCACATGTGAGGGGCTCGTCATCCCTACTGCTAACATTCACTGTGTTTGTATAAGTTGACTCTTGGTTTCAGGAAAACCGCTCATGAAAAAGGGAATTTACTGGATTGAAAAGCTTAGGATGGAGCTGCAGGTGCAGTAGGGTCTAAGGGCTCAAATATAGTCATTGGAGTGCGTTTCTCTCCATTTTTCTGCTCAGTATCCTTCAGAGCTGGCTTTATGCCCAGGGTCCCTGTGGAAGTAAGATGGCAGCAGCAGGAGCATCTGCCTAGACCAATCCCTGCGGCCAAGAACTGCAATACCCTGATTGGCTAATACCCTGAGTGCCCCCCAGATTACACTAATTGAAGAACAGGAAGGAAATTAAAACAAGGGAAAATTGGAAGAAGGGGGAATGGATTCTGGGGAAGAAAGCAATCAATGTTTACCCTAAGGGCCTACTGTACTCTAGGCAGCTATTGTTTGCTTTGCTAATTTACAGATGAGGAAGTGGTGTCAGAGAGGCAAAGTCACACTCACAGTTTGGAAGGGGCAAAGGCAGCTCCATGTGGCGCAAACTCTAAACTGCTCCAGTATCCTGCTTTCCAGGCACCATCTGCTATAACTTGGGCTTGGCGCTGCGTAATGAGGAGGAGGAAGATGGCATTCCCAGGAGGCCTTTCCAGACACCTTCTCAGACAGCCTGACAGCCGACACTTGGCAGCATTGGCTTTAATTAAAACCACACTCAAAGCAAAGCCATCTGGGTCTACTGGGGGAGACAGAAGAGGTAGGAGACAGCAGCCATGGTTCACGTGTCTGACCTTAGACTAGCCGGGCCTGGAAGAAGAAAAGGCTCCATCCTCACAGAGCTTCATGGGGTTATTCTGAATAATAGTAACATTTATTGAGCACTTTCTTCATGGAAGGCATGGTTCTAGGTTCTCTGTGTGTCTTAACTTCTTTAATTTTTTCAGTAATCCTGTGAAGTTGGAGCTGTTATTAATCCCCATTGTTGGGTTATGGAAACTGGGGCACCATGTGGCCTCAGCTCAGAGGAAGTACTCAGTAAGTCCTGCTGTATAAGAGCCTGGGATTCTGTGTATCTCTCCAGGACTCAATTTCCCCATCTGTAGCTCTTGCCATCTCTCAATGACTCAGTTTCTACCACATCGTGGAACCAATACATTCTATTCCCTTTCTTCTCTTCTCCCTTCACTCTACTCTAAGAAACAAAGGCTAGAGTTTGAAAAAGGGTCGTTTTGTACTTAGACTCATGGGCTCATACCCCAGTTACCAGAAGAGAAATCCACTTAGATTCCAAAGGACAGTGGTGTTCTAGAAATATCGCTGAATTTGGAGCCAGCCAGATCTGAATTCCAATTCTGGTACTGCTACCACAGATTATGATGCAAAAGATGCCATCCAAGAGTTGTACAGTATGCAACCTTCACAACTTTATGTGGTGGCCCAGAAAATTGTCCATGTCTGGAATATGAGAAGTGTGGGAGCTGTCTCAAAGACCTATTGGAAGAACTGAATGAGCCAACGATATGAGAAGTGTGGGGGCTGTCTCAAAGACCTATTGGAACTGAATAGCCAACGTTTGTAAAGTGGAAGACCTATTGGAACTGAATGAGCCAACATTTGTAAAGTGTTTAGCATGAGGCCTGCATACAGAGGAGCTCAAAAAAAAAAAAAAAAAAGAAAGAAAAAAGAAAAAAGAAAAGATAATACTGGCATGAAATTGTCTAAGGTCACAAAGTTAATAAAGGCAGACCTCAGATTCTGATCCGATATCAAACCCAAGTCTGATAGCCAGCAAAGTAATACTTTTTATGATGTACTTTTCATCATATAACAAAGGCTGAAGGGAATGTTTTGAATGATTTATTCAACATTTTTAGTCCACGGCACAAATTGGTGCCAAATAGGTCTTGGATAACCCTGTGTTGGAATGACAAATAGATGGGTGAGGGGGTGGATAAAAGGATGAAGGGGTGAATGGGATAAGGGTGTAAGTGAATAGAGAATAGAGAGATAAGTAGGTGGAAAAATGGATAGGTGGAAGGTTGGATAGACAATGAATTATTGGCTGAGTGGAAGAGTAAATTGGTAGACAGGTAGAAAGATGCATGTGTGGATAGGTGGGCAGATGCTTGAATGCTTGGGTGAGTAAATGAATGAATAAGTGGAAAGGTAGATGGGAAGACAGACAGAATACTGTGGACAGAAGCACAGGCGAATGTCTCTGGCCTCCCAGCTGCCTTTTCCAGTGGAAAATTGAAAATCATGGGCCCCGACTTCACTTTCCCTGTGTGGTCTGTTAATAGAGGCCCAGAAAGGCCAGCTGAGGCTGTCAGTTCAGCCCCCCACCAGGACCCTGTTATTAGTCATGCTCCCCAACTCCGCCCTTGGGTGGAAGTATGAGCTGGTGGCCACTGAGGGGCTGGGCCCACTCAGGCCCCTCATTAAGCCTTATTAGGCCCACAGAGGGGGAGGAAAAAAGGGAGGGGACCTTTCTCTCAAAGGTCAGCAGTTGGAAAAAGAAGGTACATACTCAGGGGTGGTCATCTATTCTTGAGCCATGAGGAATGTGGAAGTTTGTCTAGCCAGCCTGCTCCGCCCCCATCTTGTAGATTGGGAAACCAAGGCCCATACAGGAGAGAAGAAGGTCCCACACAGAAGTCAGGACAGAGCCAGACTCAAATCCAGGCCTCCTGACTCACAGACCACAGCCTAGCATTTCTGAAGTCTGTAGCCTCAAGATCGACACTGGAGATTGAAAAGAATTAGCATGAATGGGGATCCTACTGTATGCCAAGCCCTTGGGCCAAGCGTGTTCTGTTCATGAAATCACAGTATCCTCTGTGTTCCCACCGTTAAAATAGAAATTTGTCCTTTCATTGATTCCATATACATTTACTAAAATTCACTGTGGGCCTAGTGCTGATCTAGGTGCTAGGAATATGACATTAACCAGTTAATCAAGGTTTCCATCCTCACAGAGCTTACCTTCTGGAAGGGGATGGAGACAATAAACAAGTGGGTAAATAAAGCACATTATGAAGAAAATCAAATAGGGATACTGGATGAAGGGACATTTTTGGGGAGGGGATGGTTGGAGAAGGCCTCTCTGAGAAGGTGGCCAAGGTATTTGTCCATCAAACCATGCTCCCCTTGCTAGTGTGTGGTTGGAACTGACAAGTGGCTGCCCAGGCAAGGGCGACGTTTCCCAGTCCCTCTGCATCCAGGTATGGCCATATGAACAGCTCCTGTCAGTGGGATGGGAGATGTGATGAATGCCTCTTTCAAACCTAAGCTTTCAGAAGGAGATGAGCTTCCTCCATGTTCTCTTTCCTTTTTCCCCGGCTGAATGCAAGTGACAGCAGGCCCCAAGATGGAAGAACCTGGATCACTGTATCATCACATGGAGGAGAGCCATCCATTGCACTGGCACATCTATTACATAGGTAAGAAATAAACTTCTAGTGCGCTTGAGCCATCACACATTCTGGGGTCTTTTTTTTGTTGTTGTTATAGCACTTTTGCCTAACCTAAGGCATACCATGATGTTTGAACTGAGACCTGAAAGACACATGACAAACTGGCTTAATACATTGCAGGCAGATAAAATGGCAAGTGCAAAACTCTCAAGGCAGGACTGAGCTTGGCATATTGGAAGAACACAAAGGATACCAGTGTGGCCAGAATGAATGTCGTAAAAGGTAAGACATACAGGTAGTGGCCTCAGTGAAGAGTCCAGATTTTAGGAGAAGCCACTGTGGGTGGGGCTGTAAACAGGGAGAAATACTAACTGGTTCACATTGTGAAATAATCCCTCTGGCTACTGTACAGATATAAGCTAGAGGGAGGCAGAAGTAGACATGAGATCAGAGAAGGGATGGTACAATCATTCTGGCAGGAGACACTGGTGGCCTGGGTGAGGCTGGGGGCAACAGAGAGAGAATGAAATGAATTGATTCAGGGTATATTTTAGAGAGCTTGCTGATAAATTGGTTGTAGAGGGCAAGGGAAACGAATCCACAAACCATTAAATAAAATCTAATGCAGGAGCCAATATATATTTTAGGGGTGTCTTTTCAAGTCACAACCTCCCTTCCCTGAAAACTTCCCACCCATGATAACTCTGCTTAGCTCGGAATTTGGCCCCTCCACTGTTGCTGATTGTACCTGTGGTTGGGGCTCAGCCAATCAGATCATCCTGGCTGTCGAAGGTGACTGAGGTGGGAATGGGCTTAGGCTTTCTCATTGATAGATACCCCAGCCAGATGGGCCTAGAAGCTGAGGAAGAACGAGCTCTCCCAAGGCCATCCACCCACCCATCTCAAAGAGGAAGAAACATGTAGCTGCTAATGGAGTCAACCACAGCTAGAATTACTACTAGCTGAGCATGGACAAGCTGGCCTTTGCAGAGCCCTGGCCTGGAAGAGCAAGAGTGGATCTCCCAAGGCAGAGGATGGGAGGGGAGGGCCAGACTTCTGGGTCCCATGCTCACAGGCATGACCACTGGGGTCTGCCCATGTGTGAATGAACCTAGACAACTCATTCCTCTGGGTAAGAGGAAGGAGTTCCATTTTCCCCATCTGTCACATGGCTGAGTGTGGCAGATTGTATTTTCCAAAAATGGCCACAACAATATTTTCATTCCCGCATGTTCTTCAAGAATGTTTCCCCTCTTGGTAGAAGAGAGTGGCAGTCTATTTCACCTCCTCGGGAACCTGGCAAGACTTGTGGCTGATGATGAATAGAATGCAGCAGAGGTGACACTGTGTGGCTTCCAAGGCTGAATTAGAAAAGATGGTACAGCTTCTCCCTGGCTCTTTGTCTTAGAATATATCCTGGGAACCCAGTTGCCATGTTGTGAGGAAGCCCAGGCCCCATGGAGAAGCCTGATGTGGATGTTCTGGCCAACAACTCAGCCGAGGTTAAGTGTACAAATTCTGGATCCTGCCTGGGTTCAAATCCATGACCCTCGATGAGTTCCTTCATTTCATTTTCATCGTCTGTAAAATAAGGATGACAATAATAGTTCTTCCTTACTATTGTTTTGTCAGGATCACATCAGTTAATCAATTTAAGCACTTAGAAAAGTGCCAAGCACATGGTAAATGGCAAGTAAACATGACTTAGTATTAAAGCAGAAGCAATAGCTGCAGAATCCTTGACCAATGCATGGCTTGGCATGTAGTAGGTTCTCAGTACATGGTAGGGAACCTTCTTCACTTTCTCTTACTCTCTTACATAGATCATCACCCAACATGGTATTTAATTGCTTATGTCCTCCACCAGAACACGAATGCCATGAGGGCAAGGATACTGTTTTATTCTGTTTTATCTCCAGAGCCCAGGACAGTGCTTAGTACACAGTAGGTACTCAAGGAATATTTGTTGAATGAACGCATTTTTATTCTAAATCTTAGTTCCATGCTTGGCACACAGCAAGCGCTCGATCAATCTTGGTCTTCTTTACCCCTACCAGCTAGCTCTATTTCCACTTGCTCCAGTGCTCGATCAATCTTGGTCTTCTTTACCCCTATCCTGCTAGCTCTATTTCCACTTGCTCCAGGAAGCCCTCCTGGGCCTTGCCATATCCACTGATAGCCCTGTGGCCCCTAGAGTCTTAGCCATCCCAAGCCAAATTCTCCACTGACCTCCACAGCCCACCTCTCACATGCTTTGCCTTTCCTTTTGAGCAAACGCTCACCTTGTTTCTCCAGTCTTCCTTCCCAGAATGTGAATCATGCCAAGACTTGGGGACTAGAACCAGCCCAGAGAGGAACCTCCACTTCCCTGCCTACCCCCAACCTCAGGTCAGATGCACTCTTGCCTGTGACAGACCATGGAGATTTTCCACATTGCTGAGGGCCACACAGTCAGATACCACCAGATCCTCCCCTCCCCCACCTCTCCTGGCTGCAAGAGCTACAGTCCCACCGGGATCAGAGCCATCCCCGTGCGTGATTCCAACATCTGTAATACTTTCCCTTCTCCTCATAGACTTCCTCCTTCAAATTCCTCCTGCTTCATTATTAGTATATAAAAAATAAGAAAATTAAACTGTCTTAATCATTTTCCATATTAGCTGACAGCCGGATCCCATATGCCTGGGAGAGAGACCATTTCTCCTGTGTCCCCTTCTGCTTTTCCAACATAACTAATCTCAAACAAGCCTAGTTGTCAAAACTCCTCAGTCTTGGAGCTTCTACAGCTCTGTCTCCCTGGGGTCTCGTCTGGCTGGTGTGGCCTGAATCATAAGTAAAAGACAGAGGTTCTTCTACATTGGGGATAAGCACAGACGTCAGGGCTGGGCTGATCATTGTTCAGTTCCCAGTATGATCACTCACAAACTAAAAGTCTCCATTTTTGCTTTGTCTGTTTTGTCCAGCCCAGAGAAGGAAAGGATATGAATTTTAGAGCAGACAGATCTGAGTTCAAACCCCAGCTCTGCCATTTACCAACTGTGAAACCTTGGGTGAGCCACTTAACCTCTCTGAGCTTCAGTTTCACAGTTTCATCTGTAAAATGGAAGAAACAATAGCACTGAATTCTCAGTGTTGTGATGAGGAGTCAAGAAGGCTATGATAACAACAGCCATCATCTGGTGAATCTTGCTGTGTGCCAGGCACTGAGCCAGACCCCGACCTGCATACCCTCATTTAATGTGCACAACAACCTGCTTAACAGATGGGGAATGGAGGGGCTGAGAAATTGAGAATCTCCCCTGAGGACAAGCAGCAAGGAGGTATAGGGGCTGGTATTATAACTCAGGCATCCTGACCCCAGCCCTTACATCTCCTGGCCTAATGCAGGTGCTCCATTTGTGCTCACCCCCTTCCCACCCAGCTTCACTTTGGTCTTTCCCTGTCTCTTGGCCTTGAACCTGGGTACCAGGGATTGACAGCTCTGCTGTATCCTCCCCCGACCCCCACTGCTAAGCTATGTGGGTAGGTAAGGGCCTATGGTGCATGCATGGCTGACTCAGATGAGCCCACTGCTGCTCTAGCTACTCATCAGAATCTCCTGGGAACCCTTAAAAACAGACACCTGTGCTCCATCCCTGGCATTGAAAAGATAGAAGTCCTGAGTTGAACTTGAACTGAATGTGTAAAGTCCCAAACCGAAGGAGATAAATTATTTTTTTCAGACTTCAAACTTGGAGACTATTTTTGTTTTTGCTTAATTGTAAACCAAACTGCTTTTTTTTTTTTTTTTTTACCAAAAAAAAGTCAGTTAATAATAGAAGCTCCTAATATATCACCTTTAGAATTTAACCAAAATATGGCAAACTAAACTTGGCTAAAATAGCCACCCCTTCTTAGAATATTTATATTGATATCGACATGTCAGAAAGACTCTAAGATTTCCTCTACACCCTTGATCCAAACTTCAATAGTTCTAGTTTCTCTACTAAGTATTCTTTCTGAGCTCGGCGCACTTTGCATGTATAATTTTCCCATCCTTTCTATAGCCCTTTGAGAGGTATCATTTATCTCAATTTTACAGTTGAGGAAATTGAGGCTGAGAGTGGTTAAATGATCTATAAGAACCGGAACTTGGATTTGAACCCAAGTCCCAGCTGCAGAAACATGTTTTACTAATGCAACTTCTACATGATTCTCCAGGATATCCCCAACTCACAGTCCTGACCCATAATTCATGAACCCTCCTTCCTTGGGCCAGACTAGCCTCTGCCCTGAGAAGCAGCATTATGTCCAGCTGCCTGGGGTCAAATCCCACCTTGGCCATTCACTAACCATGTTTCCTCCCACGTTCAGTAGTAATACTATTCCCCACCTTTTAGGGCTGTTCCATGGAGTGAAGCAGTCACATACCTAAAGTACCAGCACAGAATTTTCATATATCTAGACTCAGGGAAAAGCGTGAGACTGAAAGTCTACTTCTGTAAGCAAAGGGCAGAGAGACCAAAACAAGAAGCAGGCCACTTTAGTCTGCCACTAAGAGAGTTTGTTGGGGGACCCTTACATCTGAGGCATGTCTTAAGTGGCTGCAAGATGAAATGGATCCCTGCTCTACTTGGTAAGGCCAAAGAATTACTTAGGATAAAGTGGGGAAACTGTTATGGATAGTACATGAATGCTACTAGGTATGGAAATTACTTTACATGCTTAATCAGGTCAGGACAACAACCAGCACATAGCAAGATGCAAGGGAGGGGTGCCGATTTGTGTCAGAATGAACATCAATTACAATCAGACAGTCTCTAATGGGGGTTTGCAGAAAGCAACCTCCATTCTGGCCCAGGTCCAGCTTGTGGGACAGATAGCGGTCATATCATAGAACAGTCTCTCCTCTGCACAGAGTGGTTAGAATTCTTATTGTACTTTAAGTCCCTAAGTGGGGTGTATAAAATAAGAGCTTAAGAATTACTCACTGGTGGTAAAATGAAGGTCTGGAACAACAAAAACAAGACTGGAAAGAAATATTACAAAATGTTGGCAATAGTCTCTCTGGGGATGATTATGAGAGATTTTGTTGTCTTCTTTGTGATTTTCCCCCCAAACTCTCAGCTTAGAAGAATACTATACTATGCTTCTCTAATTCTATGATGCTATGAACCATGGGATGCATTGTCAACTGAACAGCACTGTTTCAGAGGAAAGAAGGAAATCTTACCTCGCGGAATCCTAAGACCTCCAGATTTTAGAAAAGTTAATGTCTATCTGGGAAGATGTCTTAAATCAAGGAAATACATTTGTAATCAAGTAATAAAGGTGGTGGTCTCCAGGGGAAGAGGAGGGTAAAATTTATTTTTAGAAGGAAAAAGAGGATGCAATGAAAATTGGAAAGTCAACATAATCCTGCCAACACACACCTGACTGACCTGAGGTACCTGAAAATAAATACAGTCCCTGGGCCCCATCCTGGTCCCAATGTCCCAGAATCTCTGGGCCGGGATCTGGGGTGTGTTTTAAGATGACAGGACAGATTCTGGAAACTTTCAGAAACAAACCTCTTCCTCCATCTTTCTGTCTCGTCTTACAGATGAGAAATTTTAGTTCACAGAGCGGGAGGGTCATTAGGATCCTCCTGCTTGAGTGATACCTTTTACTTTACTCCAGAGGGTCTTTTTCACCATGCCCAGTCCTTCTCCCCATCTTGCTCCGACTGCCTGGAGCTATTTCTTTCTTCTTTCCCTGAGGGAGTGTCCCCTGTTCCTCATTAAGGAGACTATATATTTTTGTCTCTTGAGTACTGCATTCTATTGCCAGCAAATAACTTTAAATAGGAAAAATATGCCCCAAATTAAACTGGAAAACAGAAAATAAATAGGAAGGGGGCGGGATGAGTGTCAGCCTATTCTCCTGGTGAAAAGGGTGGGCTCTGAGCCTTCTTTCCTACATCTCTGAAGTGGAGATCAGAGCATCCACCTCCTGGCTGCAGTGAGGACTCGATGAGAAATGCATGCGACGCACCCTGCAGAGAGCACCTAAGTGTTCATTACCATCTGAAGTTATTAGGCATCTTCAGCACTTTCAATTTTGAGATAATCATCTGGAGAAAGTGTCAAGGGACCCAACATCCTCCAGTCAACACTTCCAATTAAGAGCCATTTTAAAACACGCCGTCAGATGTCATTTTTCAATAGGTACAACTTTAAAAACATCCCTCCACCGACCTCCCTACCCTGATCCAACTGCTCATAGCTGAGAGTGACCTTCCAAAAGCCTAACTCAGATCAGATGATTCTCCAGCTCCATAATTTTCCAAAGCTCCCCATTGCCTACAAAACCCAGCTCAACACACTAGGCCTTGGAGCCCTCCAGGACAGAGGCCATGAAGGTTTCAAATTTCAAGTTTCATCTTAGATCTTCCTCCCACCCTCTGCCCTCCAGCCACACAGAGCTGCCCCTCGGTCCCCAAAGGGGACATGCACTTTTCCCCCTAATTAGGAGTCAAGTGCAGAGAGCTGGGTTAATCAAATGCCTTAGCTCCAGCTGCACTTCCATTACTGGTCAGAGTGAGACCCCTCCTCCCCTCCTTT